GTAAACAAACAAACAATCAAATCTTATATGTCACGTCTGTTTTTGGACGGCTGTGTGTTCATTAAGGCAGAGATTGCGTGATTGCTGTGGTACTTAAAACGATTTCTCGTATACAGCAGAGATATATGATATATCTAGTAAACTGCGCGTGTGTCTGTGTATTTTGTTTAACGGAATCACCCCTGTATTGCAAAGTCTGTGTTGCCGTGTCAAGTCACACAAATCACTGTGTCTGGAGGTGAGTGGCTTTCCTTAAATGATCAGACAAGTGGCCAGTATTATTATGTAACGTCGCTGTGTTGCTGTCTATGCGGAACACGTTCAAGTAGACACTAACATTTAGCAGCCAGGAAGTGATTCCAGCCACGTAAGCTAACATCAACTCTGCATGGGGCACATCCGGTGATACCTGCCTTCACTGAACGCTACAGTAGACTAACATTTAATCTCTGAAATCTTATATTACACAATATCCTTCTTGACTCTAAAAATAAAAAAAAATGCCCTGTGCTGATTTGTGGAATAGAGCTAGCTTGAGCTGGCTAGACTTGCTTTTGTATGCATTTCTAGATTATGTTTTTTTCATAAAATAAATATGTTCCACGGTCATGGTGCAGGACTAAACGCTACAGGTGTGTAATGGTTTAACGGTTTCTTCATTTATAGCGTATATTTTGTCGTCATCTTCAGTCACAAGACGGTATGTTCGTATGACACACAGATGTATTGGACGTAATCACCAGTCGGACTGACGGCCAGCTGATTACACGCTGAGGAATGTAGATGTATTCAAGGACCAACTGCGATTATCCCAATGACCGCACACAACTCTACTGTTGTGTTCTTTTCCATCCCCTGTGACGTAAGCAGTTAGGGAGGGGGGCGGGGGGATAAGCTGTTGACCGCTCCATTGGTAGGAGTAACTTTAATGGGAACAAACATGTGGGGTGACTAGCTCGGGGTCAGGCCTGAGGCCAAAGATCAATGTTTTGTTGTTTTGTGAACGCCGATAATGATTTATGCTTGATTTATAACAAGCCTGTAGTTGTTATCGGTGCAAGTTGCCCACTTACCCCGCCCCGTTAACAGTATGTATTGTACACTCAAACTATTTGTTGACCATCGGATTAACGTCTTGTCTCTCCCTTCATCCCTGAGAACTGTAGCGTAATTGCTTGCCGTACGTGTGTTGAGTCCTGTCTGAATTTATTGTTGCGGTGAGGAGCGATAAGTGCGCACGTCACGTATTTTCGTTGGAATTACGGATAGGTGAAGTAATTAAATTATTCGTAAATCGTTGACTGGTCAATATTTGGCATGATGTATCGTCAATCTGTCACTCTCGCTCTAGTAGAGGCGACGTTGTGTCATATGGAGACATTTGCCTACCCATCACTGGAGAAGATCTGTTCATTCATACGCCTAGTTATCTTTGACTGATGAGACCACTTCACAGTGTAGGTCAAGTGTCTGCTTCCTTGATCGTCTCAGATGAAGGAGTCGACAGATTAAATGGGTTATCACCCCTGCAAAGCCGACCCTGTCTGAAAAAGTCAGTGTTAATTGGCACAGCATAAAAACATACTTCATATATATGCTGGATAGAGGTGACGAGAGAAAGACCTTGATGACACCCCTCATTATGCTGTCGCCGGGGCGGGCTGTAGGATCTCGGAGGGGTCGGGTAATATGTGTGCACCATCCCTCTGGCCCCACCCACTGTCGTCACGTAGATCTGGTCGCCACCCTGTTATTGTAAAGGAGGCCTCACCCACTGTCGTCGCGTAGATCTGGTCGCCGTCTTGTCAGTAAGACTCACCCACTGTCGTCACGTAGATCTGGTCGCTACCATGTTATTGTAAAGGAGGCCCCACCCACTGTCGTCACGTAGATCTGGTCGCTACCATGTTATTGTCAAGGAGGCCTCACCCACTGTCGTCACGTAGAGATGGTTGCTACAATGTTATTGTAAAGGAGGCCCCACCCACTGTCGTCGCGTAGATCCGGTCGCCACCATGTTATTGTAAAGGAGGCCTCACCCACTGTCGTCACGTAGATCTGGTCGCTACCATGTTATTGTAAAGGAGGCCTCATCCACTGTCGTCGCGTAGATCCGGTCGCCACCATGTTATTGTAAAGGAGGCCCCACCCACTGTCGTCGCGTAGATCCGGCCGCCACCATGTTTTTGTAAAGGAGGCCCCACCCACTGTCGTCAGATAGATCTGGTCGCCACCATGTTATTATAAAGGAGGCCTCATCCACTGTCGTCGCGTAGATCCGGTCGCCACCATGTTATTGTAAAGGAGGCCTCATCCACTGTCGTCGCGTAGATCCGGTCGCCACCATGTTGTTATAAAGAAGTCCTCACCCACTGTCGTCGCGTAGATCCGGTCGCCACCATGTTATTGTAAAGGAAGCCCCACCCACTGTCGTCACGTAGATCCGGTCGCTACCATGTTATTGTAAAGTAGGCCTCACCCACTGTCGTCACATAGATGTGGTCGCCGTCTTGTTGTCAGTAGGCCACACCCACTGTCGCCACGTAGATCTGGTCGTCGTCTTGTTGCAAGTAGGCCTCACCCACTGTCGTCATGTAGAGATGGTCGCCACCATGATGTTGTAAAGGAGGCCTCATCCACTGTCGTTACCTAGATCTGGTCGCCGTCTTGTCTATAGGCCTCACCCACTGTGTCACATGGATCTGGTCGCCGTCTTGTCAATATTCCTCACCCACTGTCACGTAGATCTGGTCGCCGTCTTGTTATTGTCAAGTAGGCTTCACCCACTGTCGTCACGTAGATTCGGTCGCTGTCTTGTTATTATCAAGTAGGCCTCACCCTCTGTGTCACATAGATCTGGTCGCCGTCTTGTTGTCAAGTAGGGCTCACCCATTGTCGTCACGTAGATCTGGTCGCCGTCTTGTTTTTGTCAAGTAAGTCTCACCCACTGTCGTCACGCAGATCTGGTCGCCGTCTTCTTGTCAAGTAGGCCTCATCCACTGTCGTCACCTAGATCCGGTCGCCGTCTTCTTGTCAAGTAGGCCTCATCTACTGTGTCACATGGATCTGGTCGTCGTCTTGTCAAGTAGGCCTCATCCACTGTGTCACATAGATCTGGTCGCCGTCTTGTTGTCAAGTATGGCTCACCCATTGTCGTCACCTAGATCCGGTCGTCGTCTTGTTATTGTCAAGTAGGAACTCACCAACTGTCGTAACGTAGATCCGGTCGCCGTCTTCTTGTCAAGTAGGCCTCATCCACTGTCGTCACGTAGATCCGGTCGCCGTCTTCTTGTCAAGTAGGCCTCATCTACTGTGTCACATGGATCTGGTCGTCGTCTTGTCAAGTAGGCCTCATCCACTGTGTCACATAGATCTGGTCGCCGTCTTGTTGTCAAGTATGGCTCACCCATTGTCGTCACCTAGATCCGGTCGTCGTCTTGTTATTGTCAAGTAGGAACTCACCAACTGTCGTAACGTAGATCCGGTCGCCGTCTTCTTGTCAAGTAGGCCTCACCCACTGTGTCACATAGATCTGGTCGCCGTCTTTTTGTCAAGTATGGCTCACCCATTGTCGTCATGTAGATCTGGTCGCCGTCATGTTTTTGTCAAGTAAGTCTCACCTTCTATCGTCACGTAGATCTGGTCGTCGTCTTGTTATAGCTGGGGTAGCCTAGTGGATAAAGCGTTCGATCGTCACACTGAAGACCCGGGTTCGATTCCCCACATCAGCACAATGTGTAATTGCTGGAATATTGCTAAATGCGACGAAAACCATACTCACTCACTCTTGTTACATCTCTTGTTAAATCGTGGTTTTTCTATCGTCAGTAAAGATGGGGAAAAACAAAACAAATCTATTTACGTCTAATTACGTCTGCTGTCCTGGACACGCAGTCATCGTCTATACATTGTGTATCATTAGTCACTGTCTACAGGACCCGTGAAAATTTGGGTTGGAATTGGTCTTCAGCAGCCCATGATTGTCTTTAGAGGCGACTATGCTTGTCGTAAGAAGCGACTATCGGGATCGGTTGGTCAGGCTCGCTGATGCTCATGATGTCAATCGCTAGAATGTCTGGTCCGGACACGATTATTACAGACCGCCATAATAGAGCTGGAATATTGCTGAGTGCGGTTTTAAACACCAAAAAAACCAAGCCCCTTTGACTGGTGCAAGAGACTACATGCTGCAGCAGTAGAGGTACATAATGAAGACCCGCCGTCATCACGAGACAATAAGTCCATACTGCATGTTAGTAACGAGTGTCAGCGGAGCACTTGACGTACAGTTTTCCAAGTCAACATGCATTGCTTCATTCCAGCGGCATATTTTGGGGACCTGAAGGGAAAAAGAGTACCATCCTCGGAGCCAATTTCCAATGTAATTGCATTAGACTCCGCTTGTTTACTCCTCGAGGGGGGAACCAGCAAACATGATTTCCGTTATCGCGATGATTCTAACAAACACTAAACAGACAGTTGGGGAGTGTGCCCTGTTTATAAACAAGCTATTGGTGCAATTAGCGGGACATGCTACCATGCAGCACTCTCTCGTTCAGACGGATGCTCGTGGTGTAGCTATGCAGGAAGATGGTCGATTTAGAAAATATGGCACTTCATGAGCACTTTCGGTATTCGTTGTTGTTTATTTACCCCGGAGCGTTATGAGGCTCCAGACCAGTAATTAATTTACTCACACTTACAAATAAACTGGGATAAAGTGATGGGTTGCAGAACGTCATGTAGCAGAATCATTCACAGTTTACTTTTTTGTTCTATATATTTATATTAATGCAAGCATCTCTCACACAACCATCAATACCCCTCCTACATGAACTTCCGCTGCTTCATACACATAGTCCCATTATAAATATAGCCGCTCGTTTGCTCAGTTATTGAACATTAAAACGCTAGGTGATATTATTCCCAGATGTTCACGCGTGTTCTATAAATGTCAGACTGGTAATGGAGTATATGCAAAAGAACCTTCTGGGGTTTCAGCATTCTTTTATTTCGTCTTTGACATTTCTCACACTCTTTAATCTTTTGGAAATTAAGTTTAATCCCATAAAAAATTGAGTTCATAATGTATACTGTCAACAGCCTGACTTGAAGGGAGACGCTTAGACTTGTGCAAGTCTCTAATTATTAATTTAAATCATTATTTCTAGATTATATAAATAATAAGATGTGCTGAACAAGTTGTCCCTATAAGAGACCGGCATCTTTAGACTGTCCGCTTATCTAGACTGGCCCCATATAAGGATAGAATTACATTACACCCATGGACTTATCATTCAGTACAGCCTTGGAGCAAGGCTAGGAGGCGCTGTGAAGTGGGACATTGATGGCAGCGTTCGGTGACGTCATGTACATGGCGTGGCTGCACATGTGTCGAACCTCGCAACAGGATCTGCAACTGACATGGAATTTTTAAAATTAAATCAATTTGTGGGTGGTAATATTCAGTCTTTGTATCAGGGCTCGCTGGGCTCCACGCGTCGCAGCTGAGCCTACAAGTGCAATACATGCATCTCCCGACTCACTGCGGGGAGCGTACCGAGATACAGATGCTCAATGATAACCCCGTTAAATAACTGCTATTCTTCGGCCAAAACAACCTAATTAGACTGAATATTTCGCTAATTTCTGACTCGAAAATGCTTTCAGCATGAGGTAATCGCCAAGTAAATAATACAGTTTTCAAAGTAATGGGTGGAATTCAGTCAGGTTAATTTAGTTACTTCGTTCCCCAACAGCCTGCTTCCTTACCGCCATGCATGTTTGTGGTCGCTACCGGGGGTGGGCGTGAGTGGGATATAGTGTGTGTCTAGAGTCCCGGGGGACGGGTGAACGCCCTGCTGTCACACGCACGAGGGTAGACATCTAGACTCTGAAATGAACATATTTTACAGAAAAAAACAGTTAGGGAAGAGAATTTATGGGAGTGAGTGAGTGAGTTGTGTTTAACGCCGCTTTTAACAGTATACCAGTTACATCAAGGCGAGAATTTATGGATATCAACTTCTTTATTATGAGGAACACAACGTTTCGGAGTATATGCTTACTCCTTCATCGGGTGAATGTATGTGTATCACTTCTAAATGCCTTTCAAAGACTTAAAAAACAACAACATTTGTTCAATTATCGTAATAAAATATAATAAAAAAGGAGCCACGAGACTCTCTTCATTTTCTGCAGTAATCAAGATATTGCCAACTATTATAGACTTGCATGGACTATATTGCATATATTTGTTTCAGGGACTGTGTGAAAGACTAGCACAGGGGGGCAGGGGTGCGTCCAGATGACGTAACATTAATAATGTGAGAAGGTTGTAAATATACTCGGGTTGTGTAATATATGGACTCAAGTCACGTGCGCCCAAGGTGTTTGCGAGGCTGTCTGTGTTTGAACTGATGTGGCATATATTATGTTGTTACACCATGGGACTTCAAAACATATTGTTTCATAAAAAATATCAATCATAATATTTCACGGAACTGTGCATCTGCGAGGGGTGTTTATGTAGAGAGACAGTTCCGTCTCGACCAACTACCCGCCATGGATGCTTTAGCATCTTAAAGTCATTCTCTTGCAACTCCTTACAACTATTGTTGAATGTTGACTACATCCTTAATTGATGTCGTACTCTCATCGCTCGCTCATTACATTGTTTCAGTACACCATAGTAGAGACCCATGCTCGCCGATAAAGGCGACTATGCTTGTCCTAAGAGGCGACTAACGGGATCGGTTGGTGAGGGTCGCTGACTTGGTTGATGCATGGCATCGTATCCCAAGTGCGTGGATCGAAACAAACAAACAAACAAACAAGCAAACAGTCAGAGCTATAGATAAGCTTTTGGTTATTTGGGTATTTTACCCAGAGGTTTGATTTTGATTGGATATCCACAATTTCTAGAGTGTATTCAAAAATATTTTACCCACCTGTTTCTTGATATTTTGGTATTTTAACTTGAAAACCTGTTTCGTAACAATCCCCTTAAATCATTTAAATCTAAATGAATAGTAGTTCATCCGTCTGCGTCTGCTTCTGCTTGCGGCTCACTCTCCGGGAAGACATATTTTTTGCAAAACCTAGCATTGTCAGAAAGACGCTATTTTCTGTAGCACCAATCAGCGAGTGTTGAAGATAGAAGTGTTGTACATTAACTAGGCAAGGTGTGCTTTTCAATTCATTTGGCATCTATCAGTATGTTTGACGCACAAGCTTTTCCGAATGTATCTGTCGGTAAGTGAATTTTCCGACCAGCTGATACACAATCTTTTTATCTAACAGTTTTAATATACTAAATCGTTTTGTCTAATGGTTGTAATATAAGCATTAATTTTATTTTAATAGCGTTTTTTATAGTATTTGTTGCGTATCTGATAGACTGGGATTTGATTTGTCTGCGTATTTAAGTTTACATATTTTACGCAAATACGAAACTTATCTCGAGCTCTGAAAAAAACTGTGAAGTATACGCATAGACCCTGTACCAGTATATTATTTCTGGTATAAATTATGTGAAGACGTGTTTTTGTGTTAATGCGGTGGCTGATGACAGGTGAGTGTCTTGTTTGTGTAGGTGCCATCCCTCTTGGCTGCAGACACGTGTGCGGACGCCACGTTTCATCTAAAATATCATGGCTAATCTCCCTTGTTAATATGATACATAACGTGTTGTTTCAGTGACATGTTGGCAGGTGAAGTATGTGTGTGAGCAATCACACTGTAAAGGTCGACATCAGAGAATCGTACACAATATGAGACTAAGGCGATAAACAGCTTGCAGAAATAAATAACGTTCGCGTGGGGAGAAAGAACGGGAAAGGAAGGTTGGCGGCAAGGAAAACGGAGGTGGTGAGTCGATGATAGGGAGAAGAAGAAAAGAGGTGGTGAGAGGGAGAGGGAAGGGTGGGGGGAGGGAGAGGGTAGGGCTGTGAGAGGGAGAGGGAAGGGTGGGGAGAGGGAGAGGGAAGGGTGGGGAGAGGGAAGGGTGGGGAGAGGGAAGGGTGGTGAGAGGGAGAGGGAAGGGTGGGGAGAGGGAAGGGTGGGGAGAGGGAGAGAGAAGGGTGGGGAGAGGGAGAGGGTAGGGCTGTGAGAGGGAGAGGGAAGGGTGGGGAGAGGGAGAGGGAAGGGTGGGGAGAGGAGAGGGTAGGGCGGTGAGAGGGAGAGGGAAGGGTGGGGAGAGGGAGAGGGAAGGGTGGAGATAGGGAGAGGGAAGGGTGGTGAGAGGGAAGGATGGTGAGAGGGAGAGGGAGAGGGAAGGGTGGGGAGAGGGAGAGGGTAGGGCGGTGAGAGGGAGAGGGAAGGGTGGGGAGAGGGAGAGGGAAGGGTGGTGAGAGGGAGAGGGAAGGGTGGGGAGAGGGAGAGGGAAGGGTGGAGATAGGGAGAAGAAGAAAAGAGGTGGTGAGAGGGAGAGGGAAGGGTGGCGAGAGGGAGAGGGTAGGGCGGTGAGAGGGAGAGAGAAGGGTGGAGATAGGGAGAGGGAAGGGTGGTGAGAGGGAAGGGTGGAGATAGGGAGAGGGAAGGGTGGTGAGAGGGAGAGGGAAGGGTGGTGAGAGGGAGAGGGAAGAGTGGTGAGAGGGAGAGGGAAGGGTGGAGATAGGGAGAGGGAAGGGTGGTGAGAGGGAGAGGGAAGGGTGGTGAGAGGGAGAGGGAAGAGTGGTGAGAGGGAGAGGGAAGGGTGGTGAGAGGGAGAGGGAAGGGTGGGGAGAGGGAGAGGGAAGGGTGGTGAGAGGGAGAGGGAAGAGTGGAGATAGGGAGAGGGAAGGGTGGTGAGAGGGAGAGGGAAGAGTGGAGATAGGGAGAGGGAAGGGTGGAGATAGGGAGAGGGAAGGGTGGTGACAGGGAGAGGGAAGGGTGGTGAGAGGGAGAGGGAAGAGTGGAGATAGGGAGAGGGAAGGGTGGTGAGAGGGAGAGGGAAGGGTGGTGAGAGGGAGAGGGTAGGGTGGAGATAGGGAGAGGGAAGGGTGGTGAGAGGGAGAGGGTAGGGTGGAGATAGGGAGAGGGAAGGGTGGAGATAGGGAGAGGGAAGGGTGGTGAGAGGGAGAGTGGAGATAGGGAGAGGGAAGGGTGGTGAGAGGGAGAGGGAGAGTGGAGATAGGGAGAGGGTATGGTGGAGATAGGGAGAGGGAGAGTGGAGATAGGGAGAGGGAAGGGTGGTGAGAGGGAGAGGGAGAGTGGAGATAGGGAGAGGGAAGGGTGGTGAGAGGGAGAGGGAAGAGTGGAGATAGGGAGAGGGAAGGGTGGTGAGAGGGAGAGGGAAGGGTGGTGAGAGGGAGAGGGTAGGGTGGAGATAGGGAGAGGGAAGGGTGGTGAGAGGGAGAGGGAGAGTGGAGATAGGGAGAGGGAAGGGTGGAGATAGGGAGAGGGAAGGGTGGTGAGAGGGAGAGGGAAGGGTGGAGATAGGGAGAGGGAGAGGGTAGGGTGCACGTGGTGAGACGGGAGAGGGAAGGGTGTCGAGAGGGAAGGGTGGTGAGAGGGAGAGGGAGAGGGAAGAGTGGAGATAGGGAGAGGGAGAGTGGAGATAGGGAGAGGGAGAGTGGAGATAGGGAGAGGGAAGGGTGGTGAGAGGGAGAGGGAAGGGTGGAGATAGGGAGACGGAAGGGTGGTGAGAGGGAGAGGGAAGGGTGGAGATAGGGAGAGGGAGAGGGAGAGGGAGAGTGGAGATAGGGAGAGGGAAGGGTGGTGAGAGGGAGAGGGAAGGGTGGAGATAGGGAGACGGAAGGGTGGTGAGAGGGAGAGGGAAGGGTGGAGATAGGGAGAGGGAAGGGTGGTGAGAGGGAGAGGGTAGGGTGCACGTGGTGAGAAGGGAGAGGGAAGGGTGTCGAGAGGGAAGGGTGTCGAGAGGGAAGGGTGGGGTGAGGGAAGGTGGTAAGCGTGTGAGTGAGTATGATTTTACAACCCTCAGTATTCCAGCAATGTTACTACGGGCACTGGGGAGGAGAGATGTGAGCAGTAAGAAGAGGATGGTCAGTAAAAAGATGGTGGTCATCTAGGGCTGAAGAATCACGTGTGGTAATTGGTGGAATGGAGAAGTCAGCGCGCGTGTTATCAATAATAATATCACAAAGGCTTTGAGTATTCAACAATAATATCAGTTTCACTATAAGTTAAGATAATATTTATTGCAGAAACATTCCATTACGGGACAAATGCAATTTCCTTTTAACAAAATGACATACATTCCTGTGGACACAAAAACCAATCATTATTACTATGTCTCTGAAAAATTACAGTGAAATTAGCATCGTTTTCAATGAATAAATACTTTATACTTGATATTAGGAATTAGATTTATGATATTAAAGCTCCGAAATTATGATATAATAAGGATCATGTTTTTTAATAATAAATGATTAGCGAAACGGCGTCCAAGGTGAAGAAGGTGTGATCTCGCGTGGAAGCGAGAGGTCATTGACCTACATCTGCGTCCTACTGCCCTAATTAGCAGGCGCATATCGCTGAGAGTGACCCTGCTGACCGCAGCGATCTCATCAATTGGGTACAGGCCCATAAATGACAAACCCTTGGCTGAATGTTGTAGTAATTGCCGTGTTCACCTTATTAAGTTGCTCGTGTAAGGGATGAAAGGACAGGACTGTGAATGACAACGTATTGACTACCGCACACGTTGACATGGGTTAACGCGAACCAGTAACTATGACATTTCCCTGAGTTTATGACCCAATAACACTATCTGATGTAAATTCATGTCTGGTGTCGGTATTCCCGGTGCTACGTGCACTGTGGATGAGAGAGGCTATCGGTGTTGCGTGCCGATGTTGCGAGCACTGTGGTTAAGAGAGGATCTCGGTGTTGCGTGCACTGTGACTGAGAGAGGATCTCGATGTTGCGTAAACTGTGGTTGAGAGAGGATCTCTGTGTTGCGTAAACTGTGGTTGAGAGAGGATCTCGGTGTTTGCGTACACTGTGGTTGAGAGAGGATCTCGGTGTTGCGTAAACTGTGGTTGAAAGAGGATCTCGGTGTTGCGTACACGAAGGTTGAGAGATGATCTCGGTGTTGCGTAAACTGTGGTTGAAAGAAGATCTCGGTAATGCGTACACTGTGGTTGAGAGAGGATCTCGGCGTTGCGTGCACTGTGGTTGAGAGAGGATCTCGGTGTTGCGTACACTGTGGTTGAGAGAGGATCTTGGTGTTGCAAGCACTGTAGCCGAGATATTTCCGCTGTTTTCATGAGTTGCTAATCAATCACACGGTTACCCCTCGATGATTTTTTTATGACATGGTTGTAGTGAGGTCTATAACCCGTGGTTTATGACCACGTCACATCAAACGGCCTTGTTTCTTTCATAGTTGGGTATAATAAGCTTGTACTACCTTACACCATTACTAGTGCATTGATGGCGGTTCCTTACAAGTTGATCCAACACTACTATAGTCCGAGTCTAAAGCTGATCCCGCAGGTGGGTGAATTCATGACGGCGACTTTTCTGTGGTGAGGGTTTGGAATGCGACTCTGTCCGGACTGTGAGCCCTTCTCAGCCGCGGCGTTCAGGGCGCAGTGGGAGACTTACCCGTGTACCCGAGTCCTCATGACACACGTGATCATACGTGGATCCAGTGCAACCCCCCCTCCCCCTAACACTTCCCCAGTTTTACATCCGTACATGGGAAATGTAATAGTTGTACGTCAAACAATCACAATGACTTACTATTTCGGTGATATATTTCCAACAAATTCCACGATTACTGAACACGTGTTGCCAAGACAAATGCGCCCCTTTTGACACTTTGTCCGCCAGCCCATACCAACGCTTCTAGTGCCCTACTGCAAGGGGCTAGGCAAGGAGGGTTACATGCAAAACTGTACCCGTGAAGATCCGGGGTAGGATAGGTCTTCAGCAACCCATGCTTGCCGTAGCAGCCAAATAAGCTTGTCGTAAGAGGTTGGTAGATCGATGATCATGATGTCAGTTACTGGATTGTCTGGTCCAGACTCGATTATTTACAGACCGCCGTCATATGGCTGGAATATTGCTGAGTGCGGCTTTAAACAACAAACAACAACATGCAAAACTGACAACTACATTCTCTGTTTTTGTTCACACTACGATCTTGTCAATCTATCGGGCAAATTGTTGGTCACAGTTTGTCTTGTAAACACCACTTTGATGACTCAGATACGATATCTCTAGTTCACACATTTACAACGTCTTCACCCGTTGCATAAGTATAGCGGTGTACTGTGCATGCTAGCTGGAGTTCCGGTCATAAATCACTCACGCTGCAGAGGTATTGTCGGAAATGTTTTACATTTTTAAAAAATGAAATGCCGCGTAAATAGACTTACACGTGCAAGGTCAGCGCTAAGCGCGTGTTGTTGAAAAAAATACACTGAAGGGAAAACACCTTGAAGGCTATGGCAACCATGCTAGGTTACGAAGGGAGACTACTCCAGGCCGTGGAGGTTATCGGGATGGCTGTCAGTACGTTTGATATAGCGAAATCTCTAATTAGAGGTAAGGGGGAAGTGTAGAGAGTCTGATAAAGAGACTGGGTTTGATATAGCAAGTCTGCTCTGGTTCACATCGTAAACATGTCGAGTAGCTCAATCAAATAGATTTCTTGAAGATGACCGCCCTTTGGCCCCCATCAAAGCCGCGGCGATACCTGCTGATATCCCCATCCCGAGAGACCTCCAACAGGTGATTAGAGGCAACTCGGCCCCTCACCACATGTTTATGTGAGGGGATTTGCATGTGGTTGTGTACACTTTCCACCCCGTCTGCAGTCAAGGGGCGGCGACGGGGGCAACCTAGCAAGTCAGCAGATGGCACCAATGGTTGCCGCCCCTTTCATACCCTGTTTACAAGATGGCGTTTAAAGGATTAATACTGACTGTATGAAATAGGCACACGACCACCAGAATCTCTACTTGTAAACGATGAAATTGCAGATTTGGTAGACAAACATCTCGTCTCTGAAATGAAAATATTTTACAGAAAAAGCAGTTGTTAAATTACCTTAATAAAATATAATTAAGAGGAGCCCAGAGACTCTCTTCCTAAACTCAGAGACCATATAGTATCTATTATATGGTCTCTGCTAAACTGCAATAATCAAGACTTGCCAAATATTATGGACTTGCATGAGCTGTAGTGGATGCATTTGTTTAGGGGCCGCATGACAGACTGCAGATTTGGGTGAAGATTGTCTTTAGCTGCATGGGCAGTAATGTCGAATTATTGGCTATGGGTTATATACCCTAGGTATTTCCAGGGCAGTCTGTGTTGTTAACAGGCCCCCACTACCTCAAACCGAGTTATTCTGACGATGGTAAAAGACACACAATGATGTTGTTGATGAAAGGAGATATTTTCTGTATGTTGTTGTGTTGGTTGGGAGATGAAATCCCGGACGGGCGGCTATACTGACTGGTAGCGACAGGAATGCGGCAACGGGAGCAGTCTTGCTCTTTGAAAGACGACACCTGTTTTCGCACGCCTTGCACGTGCAATAGTTACAGGTCTGATATTATCTTGTGTGGGACTTAGCGATCCAGGAAGTAACGCGCGTGATCACACGGAAGAGCCAATGTGCTATTTACATCATTTCATATCGGAACTATAATTACATTAACTGGTTGGGGTCGCACTATAATTGTACAGGGACGGTGTCCAGTTAGTGGACCGTTTTGTGTTGTGAGCTTCCTGTCGCCCAGTGGGAAATATCATTTAAATATTCATGTCTGAGAAACTTGTATCCATGTTATCAGTCCTTGTGAGTCGTTATCAAACTCACACGCCATGCAACCTGACGAACCCACCCTTATATATTGTGTGTACACATTAGAGGTGATAAGACAATATTGTGTTTCTGCACATCTGTCATGTTAGACTTGAATCTTACCTCACAGACAGAACCTAAATGATGAAGATGCATTGTTTAAATAAGATGAGTGAAGCGTGTGATAATCATCCCCTGGGAACAATGCGTATCTGCATAAAACTTTTATCCAGAAATAAAGTGATGTTATTTCAAAATATAGATCTACAAAATACAAAATAAAATCCAAAAGAAGCCCAGAATTATACTTAGTTTTAGCTATAGCTAAGGCAATCTAGACTTTCCAAACCATTCTAGACTTGAGTTGGATTCTTTTTTAAATTTATGCTCTAGGGTCTGAGATACAGACTTAACTGCATGCCATTTTCTAAGCAGTTCAAGAAATGTAATAGGGTATAGCAGAGCAAATCCACTACAGCCCAGGACAAACTCACTACAGCCCCATCCCTAGACAAACCCACTACAGCCCAAGACCCAGACAAACCCACTACAGCCCCAGCCCCAGACAAACTCACTACAGCCTCAGTCAAATCCACTACAGTCCCAGCCCCAGACAAACCCACTACAGCCCCAGCCCCAGACAAACTCACTACAGCCTCAGTCAAACCCACTACAGCCCCAGCCCCAGACAAACCCACTACAGCCCCAGCCCCAGACAAACCCACTTCAGCCCCAGCCCCAGACAAACCCACTACAGCCCCAGCCCGAGACAAACTCACTACATCCTCATTCAAACCCACTACAGCCCCAGCCAAACTCACTACAGCCTCGGACAAACCCACTACAGCCCCAGCCAAACTCACTACAGCCTCAGACAAACCCACTACAGTCCCAGCCTCAGACAAACTCACTACAGCCCCAGCCTCAGACAAACCCACTACAATCCCAGCCTCAGACAAACTCACTACAGTCCCAGCCTCAGACAAACCCACTACAGTCCCAGCCTCAGACAAACCCACTACAGTCCAAGCCCCAGACAAACCCACTACAGTCCCAGCTGCAGACAAACCCACTACCTGACGACCCCACCCTTATATATTGTGTGTACACATTAGAGGTGATAAGACAATATTGTGTTTCTGCACATCTGTCATGTTAGACTTGAATCTTACCTCACAGACAGAACCTAAATGATGAAGATGCATTGTTTAAATAAGATGAGTGAAGCGTGTGATAATCATCCCCTGGGAACAATGCGTATCTGCATGAAGACTAAAATTTTTATCCAGAAATAAAGTGATGTTATTTCAAAATATAGATCTACAAAATACAAAATAAAATCCAAATGAAGCCCAGAATTATACTTAGTTTTAGCTATAGCTAAGGCAATCTAGACTTTCCAAACCATTCCAGACTTGAGTTGGATTCTTTTTTAAATTTATGCTCTAGGGTCTGAGATACAGACTTATCTGCATGCCATTTTCTAAGCAGTTCAAGAAATGTAATAGGGTATAGCAGAGCAAATCCACTACAGCCCCAGACAAACTCACTACAGCCCCATCCCTAGACAAACCCACTACAGCCCAAGACCCAGACAAACCCACTACAGTCCCAGCCCCAGACAAACCGACTACAGCCCCAGCCCCAGACAAACCCACTACAGCCCCAGCCCCAGACAAACCCACTACAGCCACAGCCCCAGACAAACCCACTACAGCCCCAGCCCCAGCCAAACTCACTACAGCCTCAGTCAAACCCACTACAGCCCCAGACAAACTCACTACAGCCTCAGACAAACCCACTACAGTCCCAGCCTCAGACAAACTCACTACAGCCCCAGCCTCAGAAAAACCCAATACAATCCCAGCCTCAGACAAACTCACTACAGTCCCAGCTTCAGACAAACCCACTACAGCCCCAGCCTCAGACAAACTCACTACAGTCCAAGCCCCAGACAAACCCACTACAGTCCCAGCCCCAGACGAACCAACTACAGTCCCAGCCTCAGACAAACCCACTACAGTCCAAGCCCCAGACAAACCAACTACAGTCCCAGCCTCAGACAAACCCACCACAGCCCCAGCCCCAGACAAACCCACTACAGTCCCAGCCTCAGACAAACCCACTACAGACACAGCCCCAGACAAACTCACTACAGTCCGAGCCCCAGACAAACCCAATTACAGTCCCAGCCCCAGACAAACCCACTACAGCCCCAGCCCCAGCCCCAGACAAACATACGCATAGACATACAGATACAAGCACAAACACACACACACACTCGCTCACAACGCACCCATACCTAACTGTACATTCAGGTATATGTTATGTTATTTGTACGGGATATGGGGCGGTGAGGTAGCCTAGTGGTTAAAGCGTCGCTCGTCACGCCGAAGACCCAGGTTCGATTCCCCCAATGGGTACAATGAGTGAAGCCCATTTGTGGCGCCCCCCAGCAGTGATATTGCTGGAATATTGCTAAAAGCGGCGTAAGACAATGTTCACTCACTCACTCACTTATACTGGATATACAATTTAATGAATATTCCGTGAACCAGGGTATACGGCTATTCAACATTAGCTAGACGATCCTTCAATCTGATTTATTAAGTCATGCCGAATATGTGAAGACGTCAGTTACTGTAGCGGGCTGGATGTTATATATAGTAAATATATCGATCACTGAGGTGACGCCAGATCATTACCCGTCTTTGTTGTGGCCCCTCGTGGCTGCCCCCACGTGGTCAAGGCGTCTCCCCTCACTCTACGTCGACCACCCCGGCGTCCCCAGCCACGTCTAGACAACACTCCCTAATGTGGGAACATCTCCGACATTAGTGACACCTTACCACCTCTCTGATCCCGTAGGTCTTATCGCTGAGAGATTGTGTAAGTTGGCAACCCAAATCTGTTACGAGGGGAACAACGAGGCCGTGTGCTGGCGCGCTGGACTTTCTGAAACACACAGGTCTTTAAGGAGCAGATTTATTACTAACCATCACAGATTACTGGTAATACACGTGCTCTATTTTGGAGGGTGACGTTTGGAGGCTAATTAGTGAAAACAGATCAGATATCGCCCAGTCTGCCTCTATGTCTGTGTCTGCTTGGGAAACACTTTTTAATTTTTGGTTTACGGATTCGACTAGCCGGCGCCAAAAACACACAATCAGAAAATAAAAATAGTTTAAATTTTTTTTCATTTGTCCGACCGCTCTATCTTTGATGGATTAGAATAAATGGATAGAAGTACAAATAACCAACAAAATATAACTTTCACCTTTCTAAACACATATATGGAACTGTAATAAAATGTAAACATCCTGCACTAAAGAATAAGCAGTACTTTTCCACTAGCCGACCAACCAAAGCTACTGTATGTCAAATAAGAAGAAAATATGGAGCTTTACATGTTTACTATTATTTCCACCTAACCAATGAAAGTGTGTGAACCCTAAAATATGCAATGTCTTTCCACAAAACTACTTGTCTACCCACCTAGATATTTTACCTGTCTACCCACCTAGATATTTTACCTGTCTACCCACCTAGATATTTTACCTGTCTACCCACCTAGATATTTTACCTGTCTACCCACCTAGATATGTTACCTGTCTATCCACCTAGATATGTTGCTTGTCTACCCATCCAGATAGTTCGCCTGTCTAACTTTCAACAAGTCTGATTGGGTGCCTCTCAACACAACTGCAACCGTATCACACAGTTTTATCTGTCGATGTATTCAAATATACTCAACGACAAAAGTAACGCGAATACCGTACATATTGGTTAATACATGTAAAAATACTCATGTTCAGGAGATATTCGATTGGTTCGACGCACAAACGAACAAACCGGTATGTTGTGTGAATCGACGCTCATTAACGCATCACATGCGACGTCATAGATCCATGACTCGACAACATGTGTCTCGTGCAGGACGGGCGTGTAAAGTTTGGAAATCGCGTGCAGCATATGCTGAGAAGAATAAAGACACTCTGTAGTGACATTTGATTGGTTGTTAGTTTGGTCATTAATTGGTACACATTGGAAACATCTCTTCTTAACGTCCATACTTCTCTATATGTTTGGTACGCGTGTCTTATTCTGTGACCTCTGATTGACCTTCTGTTACATGAAATCCTTGTTCTTCCAGCGCTGGTTGTGCGTTTCCTCACCAAGAGGTTTATATGGGAGTACGACCCGACTCTAGGTAAGTCTTGTATCCACTATCTACACAGAATCAACGTTTACAACACCGAGTCCTCAAGGATGCTGCAGCTAAAGATACATATTTTCTTTGATATTCGCTTTTATTATTATGTACCTTGAAGTGAACTAATATCTTCATCTAAATATGTAGAATCATATTTGATTAGTATAAACTTACGTGTGAAGTGCACTTCCAGTCTGCTGTGACGGCATTGTGGTTTTCAGGTTGTAATAGGCTTGGTAACACACACACACACACACACACACACACACACACACACACACACACACACACACACACACACACACACACACACACACCATACACACACACACACATACATCATACATACATACATACATACATACATACATACATACATACATACATACATACATACATACATACATCATACAATTATCATCGAACACTTTATTTGAACTATCTTCCTTTGGCCATGTTCTGACTATGGTATGATGGCGTCGTGTGTTGCAGAGTGCACGTATAAACACCCCACCAACGTGGACGACGAGCCTGTTCTGATGGAAATACTGGATACAGCTGGAATTGTAAGTAGCCATGTGTGCACTAACTGTAGTTACTGCTGATCATTATTCACAACCGAAATAACAGTTTTGATAAATTTCCAAAACGTGAGTGAGTGAGTGAGTGAATGACCTTTTGTTCCCGCAGTGTCATGCTGGGGAACACCTGTAAAGGGCTTCACACATTGTACTCAAACCTCTAGGCTACCCTCCCGACCCCGTTCTCGCACTTAATTATTTTAACATCAATAGCTGCACTTAGTTTTAGGTGAATAGCACTCGTTAAGCGGATAGTGATAGATGGAGCTAAAGTCTAGGCAATCTCAGACGACCGTTATGTTCAATGGACATTGAACATGTGGGACTATTGTATTCCTCGAAGTTGCAGTAATTGTCTTGTGTTTCAAAGATGGCGTGACAAATTGCATTGCCTAAGGTTTGACCAACATGTACAGTGCTTGAACAGAAAGCAGACAACTACCAGTCGGTCATATATCCCCACAACTGCCCACTTATACGTGAACAGACACTGACAGCACATCGCCACTGGCATGTACATCCTCTACAAACGGTTAGCTCATGTTTTGATACCAGATGAAAGACAAATATATCACTTAGGAAATACCCTACGAAGCATTGTAATGATTGCCTGGTAGGATGGTATGTGGCTGTCTGTTGGTGCCCCCAGTGTTTTGGTGCTGATGAAAGCTTCTTCAGCCTCCAGCCCGCATGCCTGCCATGTCTCCCCTCCTCCCAATTACCCCATCTTCACCTCCATCTTCACCTCCATCTGTCTCGGCAGCGGCTGCTGTAAAACGTCACGACTTACACAGAAACATATGTCAAAGTAGTTTACTGGCGCAAAGTCAGATTCTAGATGAAGTTTTATAGACAAATACCATAATATGAAATTAAACGGAAAGGCGGTCTCAAGGAGTTCCTTTGGTTAAACATTCATCTACCACACATAATAAAATGGACGGGACGCATATACAGACACAAATCAGTCTGTTTGAGAAGCGTCACGTGACTAAGAAACATTTTATGATCCGAACACAACTGAGTGGGTATTTCTTAATTATGTATGTTATGTATAACACAACAGGCCACATAAACACAAGGCAATTTGGTCTTGGTCCTTGAGGCATGTACATGATATGTTTGACCCACGTGTAGTGGGGCCGAATTCACACGAGGAGGAGATCCTTGGGTAGTTAGTTCGTATGAGGAGGAGCTTCTTGGGTAGTTAGTTCGTATGAGGAGGAGATCCTTGGGTGGTTAGTTCGTATGAGGAGGAGATCCTATGGTGTTTAGTTCGTATGAGGAAATCCATGGGTAGTAAGTTCGTATGAGGAGGAGTTCCCAGGATAGTTGATCGTTTGAGATCCTTTGGCAGTAAGACCGAGTTCATATGCCGAGTAGACCCTTGGGTTATAGGTCGTATTAAGAGATCTTTAGTATGGTTCAAGTTTATATAATATATATTGTGGGTGTTGTATGGGAACAGTTTGAACAATTATAGACTTGGAAAAAGCCCTTGGGTGGACGGTGTGTGTCTGTGTGTGTGAGAAAGATTTATTTTGCCGTGTCATAGAGGCGGACACTCATGTGGGCAGTCTAACCCGGACCTTTGACATTCTGGGTTAACTGTGTTAAAACGAATTCCCCTCCATGCAACCAAATAATCACATTTGAAAAAGGCTTTGCCAGGATGGTCTCTATTCCTGTTTTTGAACTATGTAGGGAAGGGCAGACGTGTGTGGACCTCCAGTAATGGATGAATTGATGTCTGATGTTGTCTGTTTTCAGCAGGAGGATACCATACACAGGGAAGGCTCTGTCCGGTGGGCGGACGGGTTCGTGCTGGTCTACGCCATCAACGACCGCCAGAGCTTTGAGGAGATGGTTAAGATGAAGGAGTACCTGGATGACCTCAAGAAGACCAATGTACAGTGTGTGCTCGTGGGCAACAAAGTCGACCTGCTACATGAACGCAAGGTGGAGACAACTGAAGGCCAGACTCTGGCCCAAGATATGGCCTGTGCTTTCTTCGAGACCTCCGCTAGTGATGGCGGCCCAGACATTTCCGAACTATTCCACGAACTACATCGTGAAGTGCGGCGCAGGAAAATGATAGAGAACAAAGGCCGACGGAGAAGTAGTGCACAACAAGTCCGTCACGTATTCAATAGGATGCTGAATAAGATAGGCAGCACTACATGAATGCAAGGGTTGTAGACACTCTTAACTGTGATAAACTGTGATGCAAGAGAGGAAGTGACGTCATTGTCTGGGTCACGTGTCTCTGGGTAACGGCGAGAAGTGCTGGAAAGTCCTTTCCTGCCGAAGCGGGTGTTTTGACCCTTGTATCCAGTGAAAAGTTGAACGTTTTCTGACGAATTTATGCTATATGTGGATGAACATCTGTGATAAGTCAGAAGCGCTAAGAACGCAAGTCCTATTCGTACCTACAGTGTTTCAATGATAACTGGTTCTGCTAGCTGCACCGAGGGCGAGGCACCTGTCCTCTTCCAACAAGTGATCTTGGAGGTTGCCGTAAAGCACACAGCATGGCAGTCGTAACGAAATGACCCTTCTGTACATGGTAAACGCGAAAGACATACCCAGTGTATAACACACTCATGTACATTGGTAGGCTTGGGGGTTGACGTGGATGACACGTGTCACACTGAGCGATGTTGACAACAATGACACGCACCTGCGTTGATCGGGTAGTTCATGTGACCACACTGTCGACTTCAAATGTATGTACATATTGTCAGACGGTTTTCCTTTCGGGTCTTTTGTCAGAAGTTTTATTTATTTACGTCCAGAATCAACTAGAAACATTACACACGCACTGCACGTAGTGACGTCATTGGCAATGCGTGCAGACAAACATTACACACGCACTGCACGTAGTGACGTCATTGGCAATGCGTGCAGACAAACATTACACACGCACTGTACGCAATGACGTCATTGGCAATACGTGCATGTTGGACCATGTGTATTACCTTGACTGATCAGGTGAGTTAACATTCCTGCACGTGCAACAACCCATGCTGTTCTTACTATATTACTGTATACCATGGCCAGACTCACGACGTAATTATGTATAACCTATGTGAACAAATGTGTATACCAAATATACAATAAAATATTCAGACAATATGATTGCATCTGTCTTTCGTGTCGAGTGAAAGATCAAAATCCAATAAACAAACCTGTTTCTTTATGAGACTGTTGGCGTAATGCCACTGACTATGAATGATTTGGTTTTCAATCTGAGGGAAAGTTATCGAGCTGACATTCCGGAAACCAGTCCTTAACTCATGGATGGTCAGGCGCACGGACGTTACTGACACAATCAAGTCTCAATTCGTGTCGGAAACTTTTGGTTCGTTGGTTTCTCTGGAAAGCTGACGTCCCACAGGGCGCCACATTGGTGCAGTGATTGTAGTTTGCTGTCAGGAATCGCATGTACTGCACCAATCATGGACACGCCACTCTACTTTCCTTTGTTCTGTGTTTAAGGAGAGTGAAAAAAGACAAATTCGATCAGCTGTGATGATGTCAGAGGTGAGGTGAGATGAAATGGGGTTTAACGTCACGTTCAAGATTATTGCACGTATATGGCCATATGCATTCACGTGTGTGGGGCTGCTGCACTACTCAGGACGAATGCTGGTAACAACAAGAACCATCTTTTACCGTTTTTATGGTATGGCACAGCCGGGAATCGAACCACCGACCTTCCTCTGTCTGGGCAGACGCTGTATCCACTAGATAAGGATACGAGAAACATATGAATTGGAAACCCAACATTGTGTTTGCAAGTGAAATGGAGTAAGTTGGTTTAAGTGCTCCTTTGAACAGTATTTAATTATGTCACGGCTGTCAGATTGATGTTGGAGGAAAGACCAGAGAGATGCAGAGCTTAGACGTTTAATTACCACTTTGGTGAAACCCACGGACACGGTGTTGACAAAACAAGGGTGATTCTGAGATCCGAACGCAAAATCATCGGATCTAAACACGGCAATATATAACACTATACCCATATGATTACTATGACTATATGATTACCAGATCATACAAAAAACAAAAACTATAGTATTTTGATTAAGGAAGAGAATTTATTGATGTCAACTTCTTGGGGGAATACAACGTTTCGGAGTGTATGCTTACTCCTCCATTCACCTGATGAGTAAGCATTTTCTCCGAAACGTTTTGTTCCTCATAATAAAGAAGTTGACATCCATAAATTTTCTTCCTTATGTGTATCACCTCTTAATGCCTTTCAAAGACTTATATTTTGATTCTCTTATATAATTTTCACACGATTAAAGAGATGATAAAATGACAGCCATCACCATACACACATGCTAACACCCTTAACTCATGATCGGGATACGTTTAAAAGGAACAAATATGCCGATCGCGTTTTATGCCAACATTTGCAAACATGAACTGTTACATGCCTTTTTCGCCCAATGGAATGCAGATAGTTGATTGGTTATTCTCTGGCGTTGACGTTTTATATTAACATAATATATATATATATACATGACATCTGGATATCTTTATATTTAATATTCACACAGATAGGTGTGCGCAGGTCAACGGACGTGCCAGTGTTGTGCTCTGTGAACCGGGGACCTGTGACATTCTAGTGACACGCCGGGAAACAACCAGGCACCGCTTGTTGTACATGTCCATATGAAGCAGTCATTCTCTCAATCCAATCATCTGAATCCTGTATGAATATCACATATCATATTCTAACGATACACATTTCTTTGTGTTTACAAACTATTAAAATACAGAAACCGAAAAATGGCAACAGAGCTATTGGACAAGCCCTTCTATTTGTGACCACATGAAGGACCATGCAGTGTCCTCGGACCAACTTTCCACCAGGCACCGGTGGTGTGTTTACAGACATTTAGCCACATGTGATCACAATGTCATATGTATCCAAAAGTTAGATGGAATGTCGTGTATTTACAATATAGAAGGGATGATGCTTAACTCTGTCCTGGGTGAATGTTTGCATCAAAAATTGATATTCACTGCTAACACCTTGCCAACGAAGACGGCATCACTGGTTGAAATATGGTGTTTATGAGCTCGAGGTCGACTCGTTACTTCTGGTACATGTGGATGTATCCGGTACATGTGACGTGATCTCGTGTGTATACGTGATGTATCCGGTACAGGTGACGTGATCTCGTGTGTATACGTGATGTATCCGGTACAGGTGACGTGATCTCGTGGATATACGTGATGTATCCGGCATATATGACGTGAAGTGATGTGTATTTGATATATCCGGTACATATGAAGTGAAGTGATGTGTATGTGAGTACAATCTTCAAAAGGAGAAGAAACTGGGGAGAATAGAGAAATAAGAAACACACGTTAGGATTTATATCTACTATTGAATTGCTTTAAATATATTATGTTTTTGTATTGTGTCTACATTGACACAAAATCAAGTTGATGTCAATAAAACCATTACAGCTATCATAATGTGTACAGGGCATGTAATAGAGCACCTCTATGATAACCATACGAATGACATTTAATTAAAGAAATAATAGGAAATTTTCCCAAGGGATCCCACATCTGAAACTACGATCCAAACCTTCACAGATCAGGTTTTGTATGTATAAGTACAATTGTTGTAAGTTCATATGAATAAAAACTGCATCCATAGGATTCCGCGCGAAGACTTGCCTTAAAGTTTGAGAAAGGATAAATATTTATCTGTTGATTTGTTCTAGATATTCCCTTGTGGTAAATATACTTTGTAAACAAGCCTCAAGTAGTTTTTCTTTCATCTGTAATCTTTCTCATTTACCACTCGTTTGAACAACTTTTACAGACAGGTCTCATGCACATCCCAAAGATTGTCTATGAACACGTTTCTGTTAACGGCGAAGGTAAGCGAATTGTCTGGACTTGGCCACGTCTTATGGCATCATACAAAAGCCATTCACCCCTCAGGTCACAATGAATGTATTATTAGAATTCAACTAAAATAAATGTGAGGCCGGAGGCATATTTTCTGAAAGAAATTGTTAATGGTATGTGTATATTAGATGTCGCTGGATGTGGTTCTCGTGCATGGTTGGTTGGACTACCTGTATTGCTGTTTGGACCAGCTGTATGGCGTATTTCAAGCACAGAGAGAAGGGAAGACAAAGTGTTTTCTTCGTCTTTAGGAAATTAACGGCAATACAATGATGTGCGGGGATGGGATGAGAATCTGGTAATGCATTCATTATGGCCTTTTATTGATTTTCGCCAGCTATATTGCAACACTTGAATTCAATAATTAACGTTTAAATCCCTCAGGAAAAATCATTTTCATGAAAGGATCAGGTTCAGTAAATTAACTTTGTCACAATACAAGACATCATCTGTGTTCAGTGTTTGACTGTTTGTATTCTTGTAGTGAGAACATTTGCCAGTTTGCCGTTCGTGTTCATGCAGTAAAAACATTTGCCAGTTTTGCCGTTCGTGTTCTTGTAGTGAAAACATTTGCCCGTTTGCTGTTCATGTTCTTGAAGTGAAAATATTTGCCAGTTTGCTGTTCGTGTTCTTGTAGTGAAAACATTTGCCAGTTTGCTGTTCGTGTTCTTGTAGTGAAAACATTTGCCAGTTTGCTGTTCATGTTCTTGTAGTGAAAACATTTGCCAGTTTGCTGTTCGTGTTCTTGTAGTGAGACATTTGCCAGTTTGCTGTTCATGTTCTTGTAGTGAAAACATTTGCCACTTTGCTGTTCGTGTTCTTGTAGTGAAAACATTTGCCATTTTGCTGTTCATGTTCTTGAAGAGAACATACTTGCCAGTTTGTCGTTCGTGTTCTTGTAGTGAAAACATTAGCCACTTTACCGTTCGTGTTCTTGAAGTGAAAACATTTGCAATTTGCCGTTCGTGTTTTGTAGTGAAAACATGTGCCAGGTTTCGGTTCATGTTCTTGTAATGAAATCATTTGCCAGTTTTTCGTTCGTGTTCTTGTAGTGAAAACATTTGCCATTTTGCCGTTCGTGTTCTTGTAGTAATTTTTTTTGCCAGTTTGCCGTTCTTGTTCTTGTGGTGAAATAATGTGCCAGGTTTTCGTTCATGGTCTTGTAGTGAAAACATTTGCCAGTTTGCTGTTCATGTTCTTGTAGTGAAAACATTTGCCAGTTTGCTGTTCGTGTTCTTGTAGTGAAAACATTTGCCAGTTTGCTGTTCGTGTTCTTGTAGTGAAAACATTTGCCAGTTTGCTGTTCGTGTTCTTGTAGTGAAAACATTTGCCAGTTTGCTGTTCATGTTCTTGTAGTGAAAACATTTGCCAGTTTGCTGTTCGTGTTCTTGTAGTGAAAACATTTGCCAGTTTGCTGTTCATGTTCTTGTAGTGAAAACATTTGCCAGTTTGCTGTTCATGTTCTTGTAGTGAAAACATTTGCCAGTTTGCTGTTCGTGTTCTTGTAGTGAAAACATTTGCCAGTTTGCTGTTCGTGTTCTTGTAGTGAAAACATTTGCCAGTTTGCTGTTCGTGTTCTTGTAGTGAAAACATTTGCCAGTTTGCTGTTCATGTTCTTGTAGTGAAAACATTTGCCAGTTTGCTGTTTGTGTTCTTGTAGTGAGACATTTGCCAGTTTGCTGTTCATGTTCTTGTAGTGAAAACATTTGCCAGTTTGCTGTTCATGTTCTTGTAGTGAAAACATTTGCCAGTTTGCTGTTCGTGTTCTTGTAGTGAAAACATGTGCCAGTTTGCTGTTCGTGTTCTTGTAGTGAAAACATTTGCCAGTTTGCTGTTCGTGTTCTTGTAGTGAAAACATTTGCCAGTTTGCTGTTCATGTTCTTGTAGTGAAAACATTTGCCAGTTTGCTGTTCGTGTTCTTGTAGTGAAAACATTTGCCAGTTTGTCGTTCGTGTTCTTGTGGTGAAATAATGTGCCAGGTTTTCGTTCATGGTCTTGTAGTGAAAACATTTGCCAGTTTGCTGTTCATGTTCTTGTAGTGAAAACATTTGCCAGTTTGCTGTTCGTGTTCTTGTAGTGAAAACATTTGCCAGTTTGCTGTTCGTGTTCTTGTAGTGAAAACATTTGCCAGTTTGCTGTTCGTGTTCTTGTAGTGAAAACATGTGCCAGTTTGCTGTTCGTGTTCTTGTAGTGAA